CCCCCCCCGCGGCGCGCGCCCGTTACCCAGCCCGCACCTTCCCCGGGACACTTGCTTCTCCGTCCCGGGCCTGAGCCTGCCCGAGGCTCCAAAGCGTACCTCACGAGAGACCGGAGGGAGGAGCTGGGGGCAGGGCAGGGTCGGCGGGGCAGCCTCCCCCGCACTCCCGAGCGGGGCGCGTCTGGAGACCCCAGCACAGGGGCGCGGGGCGCAAGCGCGGGCCTTTGCGCCGTCCAGGCCGACGGGCAGAGTTTGCAAACTTTTTTCTCCCACGTGGTCCTAGTGGCGTGTGGCCGAGTCACCCCGCGCCCGAGCGGCTGCTCCCCAGGATGCCACCCCAGCTCCCCGGCGGGCCTGCCAGCCCAGGAGCGCCCTTGAACCCGGGCAGCCGCCAGGGACGACGGGGCGGGACCCGTCCAGCCCGGGGGCCCGGGTCGCGCAACCCACCCGGGGCTCCCATGCGCGCCCCACCCTGCCCCGCCTCCCTCGACAGGGGAGCTGACGCTGTAAAAAGTTGCGTGAAAGGGCTGACTGCAGCCAGAACCCATCAGCAGAAGCGCCCAGCCTCGGGGGGTCAGCGTGGCCGCGCGCGTTGTGCGGGACACTGGAACGGATCCGCGCGCACCGGGACCCCGACAGCCTCCCTTCGCAGCCGCTCGGACCCCCGCTTCCTCGGGACCCCGAACGCCTCCCTCGGCAGCGCTTCGTTGCAGGCTTGGCGACACGAGGGCCCCTCGGATCCCGCACTTTAGGTGAAGAATAAAGAAAAAAAACTGACATTTATTAATTAGGAAGAGCCAGGCTCCGTGTTACAAGGCTTTGTCGACGGTTTATCTCCTCTTTAAAGCCCACACCTACACGTGTCATTAGTCCTGGAAGAGGTGGGAGAGAAAACTGACATTCCCAAGACTGGCTGATTGGTTCCCCCCCCCCCGCGCCCCAATTTAATAATGATTAGAGCTTACTTAACCACTCCTGTAGGTGCTAGAAATTCAGAAGTCTCCCAGACTGACGAGGTGTTCCTGGCAGGTCTCTCTGGTCTCAACAGATCCTGATTTAGTGGTTTCTCTCTCCCATGTTTTAGGCACTCCAGCGTCCCCATTTCTGGATATTGCTGAAATCTGGGAGGCAGCAGGAGTGGGGCAGGGGTGGAGGGAGGAAGCAGGGCACCAGAAGTCGGGCTGAGAATGGGGGAGACAAGATGGGAGCACCCACTGGACCTCAGGCAGCGCCTTCCAAGGACTAGTTTTCTCATCATGTAAAGCAAGAAGTTCAATTAACTGTTCCCAAAGTTCTCTTTTGGTCTTCCTCCGGCATTCCCAAAAGATGACATGTTAGTGTTCTTGCTGGTTAATTGGAGATCGACTTTCCTGGAGTTTTCTGCCCAGGGTGGCTTCTAACTTTGGTGCTCAGATCTCAACCTCCTGAGTAGCTTGGATTCCAGGCTTGAGTCCACCCCACCCCACCCCCCTCCAGTGCTCCTAACAAAAGATGACATCTTTTCCAACTGGGGTTGTGTGCTTTATTTCTTGAGACTAGTGAGTGATGTATGGCCATGTGATTCAATTTATTAGGAACACTGTGCCACTGTCATCCAGAATAGCTTACCTAAGCTGACTGACTACTGCTGGCTCCGGAGCAATTAGGTAAACAATCCCTCAGTACTGAGTGTACCCCATTACTTCTAGAGTGTTGTTCTGGGGGCTTGAAACGCATGCTGGCGTCAAGCTCATCGTCACACAAAATAAAGGCAAGTTCTTGGCCATTTTAACGAAGGGCCTGGGCTTACTTTTAGGGTTTTCAGAAATGTGGAATTCGCTTCTGTGCTGACAAGATTCCAGGAAAACTCAGAACTAACATTGCAATTGTAGTCCCCTTTCAACAACTTTGGGGATTTGGTTGAAGAAGGTGTGAAATTGGCAAATATAAGAATAATGTTTTAAAAAAGTATTATATTAGTGACTTCCCAGCGTAGCCCTTGGCAGTCCTGTCTTAAAAGAGTAATATCTAGTAGGGGGAAAAATGGATCCTAATAGACTGCATCCAAGAACCTTGCCTCTGGCAAGAGTAATTTGCAAATGCATTTTGGGATAATGTTTAAATGATTTTTTTTTCTGGGTCGAAGTGTAGTACTCTCTGGAATTGGTAAATGCTTTGGGGTCAGAGTTTCATAGTTTTCTTCCATCAGAGAATTAAATTTGTTTGTGGATTATATTACTCATATTCACCATTTTGCTTGTTCCAATCGCTAATGAATGATTAATGATGCCGTAAAATAGGCTAAGCAATTACTGTGGGCCAGCCACTGTTGCAAATGCATTAAAATAATATCTCAATTAATTCTCATAAATGTTTAGGAAGGTCTTAGGATCCTGTGCTGATTTTGTGTATGTGTGTGTACACGCGCACGCATGTTCACGTATCTGTGCACATACATGTGTATCAGTCCTAGGATTTACACTCAGGTTTAAGCTGTCCCTTTGCTTCTCTGCTCAAGGCTAGTGCTCTACCACTTGAGCCACACTGTGGCTTTTTGCTGGAGATAAGAATCTCACAGACTTTCCTACTGAGGCTGGTTTCAAACTGTGATCTTCACATCTCAGACTCCTGAGTAGCTAGGGTTACAGGGATGAGCCACTGGTGCCTGGCTTCCCGCGCCGATTTTATGGCTGAGTAACCTGAGACTTCTTTTTTGCCATCTTGTCCAGGGTATATAACAATTTAGTGACAAAATGAACCTGGTCTGAGGGACCTTAATACTTCTTTGAATAAGTTGTGCTGAAATACCATCTTTGGAAGGATTAATTGAATTTAGAAGAACATTTTTTGAAAACTATTTAGCAGTGTCTATTAAAGTTACACATATGAAAACCCTCTAGCCCAGCAACTCCACTCAGAAATATATACCAGTATCAGATGCATGCCAGAAAACATATTAAACTGCTCAGTGCAACACTATTCATAATAACTCCCAAGCTGGAAATGTTCCAAATGTTCTACCACAGCAAAGTGGATAATTGGTGGTACATTCCTGAAACAGAATTTAGTCTACGCCATTAAGAATGAGCAATCTACTTTCAAATACGATAGCCAGGGCAAACCTCACAAACATGCCAAATGAAAGTTGAGAGACACATAAAAGTATTGTCAGACTCCACTTACACATACAAAGTACAAAATCATAGCTGGGGGCATGACTCAAATGGTAAACTGCCTGCCTACCATTTCAAACCCCAGTACCCCAATAAAGTACAAACAAGGCAACACCCAATAATAGTTAAATCTACTTAAGCATTTATATAATACCTCATTTTTTTCATTCAAATGCTCAGTAGGAAAAAAGTTGGATTGCTTTCCCCCACACACACACACATCGTAAGTACAATGAAGC